CAGGGATGAATTGATTCCAATTTCGTTGCTATAAAACTTTAATTCAATATTTTTTACTGATTTGATGAGAGTTTATAAGTTAAAGTGATATAAGAATATACAGTGAACAGCGGAAGATTTCATAAACATATTATGGATGAGTTAACCGGAGAGTTCAGATAGTTACACAGTGCCTAATTGCGTGAACTGTATCCGGTTAATATAATGAGGTGATCATATTGCGCCGAATCAAATGAGGTTGTAAATTTGTTGGTCTTAGTAACGAAAGAATTCTTAAAAGGTTAATATTTGTTGTACTGAATGATAAGCGTCCGAGGGGTAGATCGAAGAGAAGGTGGGAAGATTGCGTTAAAGCCGGTCTGAAGGGACTGGGTTTCAAAGGCGAACGATGAAGGGAGATGCTTAATAAGCGATTCGTAGTGTCGACTCACTACGAATATATATATATAATATATATATATATATATATATATTTATGTTATGGAGAATATATATAGATACACAGGCGGATCTAGGGGGGGGGGTTTCGGGCTGATGATAGGTGACATTTATCAGTCCGCAAAAGCTATAAATAGTCTACTAAATACGAATATTGCAGAGGTAAATACAATACTGATGCAAGCCGGGCTAATGTGTGTGCACAGCACCGCCGTTGCCAGGCAACCTGATTTATGATACAATGATAAAATATAGTCAGGAGTTGGCGTCCCGTTGCCGGGGGAGTCTTTTAAATCCCCGCCCACACTCCTTGGCCCGGGAAAACCCCGTATAATCTTAAAGGTGAGGAAGGGGAGGATCCCAAAAAAAAAAAAAAAAATACTGATACATGCTCTTATGTAAGGAAACTAAATTTGTATATATGACCTTTTGCACAGTACTGATATTTGTTGATTCCATCTATCAATCTTATTTTTATCCGACCAAGTTGTTGTTGTTGTTTTTTGGAGGTTATTTAGGCGTAAAACATCGAGATCATCAACGCCTGCGCTTAGTTTTTTGCTGGACTATAGGTATTTAGATTTTAAATTTTATTTAGCAAATTATTTAATTTTAAAAAATTCAATACTAACTGTACTGTGTCTTTGTCAATTTTAAGAATGTTTGAAATTGATCTAACCAAGTATTCTTATGCCTAATATTTAGGATTGATGGATTGCTTTGAGCTACATGTCTCACCCATCTTGACCTCCTTGACTTCATATCATGAGGTTCTTACTGATCGACCAGTTTCTGTAAGCAGTTCTTAATTGTCCTTTCACCTCCTTGCTTCAGTACTTTGACTCTAGCGTTACCCAAATGCGAGACTGAGGCGAGTCTTGGTCTTGGAAACTCAGTCTTGGTCATGGAATTGGTCTTGCGCAAGAGTCTCGCAACAGTCTTGCAGTTACTTATCAGCTTATTAGTATAAAGATATTACTGTAATTCTTTAGTCAAGGGAAACCTAACTATGCCCGAATGAAATATTAGAGGAGATAAATGTAAAAGTATATTGGTTATACCAATTATAGTAATTAAGATACCAATATAGTAATTAAGATTGTCAAGTATTAGTTACTATTTTGCCTTAATTTTTATTTAAAAAATCGATTTTTTTTTTATCAGTCTTGGTCTTGGTCTTGTAACAGTTAGGAGGCCTTGATCTTGCAAAGTGCAAGACCAAGACCGATTTTGGGCAACACTATTTGATTCCAAATCACTCCGGAAATCCTGCAGAGTAATTTCTACATTCTATGTAGATACATATATTCATCTTTTGCGAGACTTGGTTATTTGGATTCTGAATTTATTCAATAAATCCTACATTTTTTAATTTTTTTCTTATATTCGGACCTTATTAACACGAGATGATTTAAAATGTATCAGAATATATGTGACTATGTAAGAGACATATAAATACTGAATTAAGTAGATATTTCAAGTACAGTAAATAAGCAATATTTTTTAAATGTAGTAGTTTTCGTTTAAATATATTTTTCTAATGCTTCGCTGACGAAACTGCAATTCTATCTTCACACAAAAATTCTACTATCGCATCAATTGCCCTTTAAAACCACCTCCATGATCTTCAAAATTGGTTTGCAAAATTGGAAATTAAAATCAATAGTAACAAATATACCCACGTGACATACTCTCTTAGGAAAGCCTCATGTCCAGCCATAACGATTGCCAATAATCAAGTGCCTTCAAAAAACTATGTACGGTACCTCGGACTTTATTTACACAAAAGGCTTACCTCGAACATACATAATATATTAAAAAGACAAAAACTTACTAGACGATATAGCCAACTCTCACATCTTCTGGACTACAGATCCTCACTTAACTTACGAAACAAGATATTAATCTACAACACCATAATAATATAATAATAAGGCTTAGCGAACCCGAAGGTTCGATGCCGACACCACCAATCGCTTGTTACACACCTCCCTCCACCGTTCGCCGTCCAAACCCAGTCCCTTCAGATCAGCTTTAATGCAATCTTCCCACCTTCGCTTCGGTCTACCCCTCGGACGCTTACCATTCGGCATAGCAAATATTAACCTTTTAAGAATTCTCTCGTTACTAAGCCCAACAACTTTACAAGCCCATTTGATTCGCCGCGATGAAATTACCTCAATTATATTACCCGTATACAGCTCACGCAATTCGGCGTTGTGTAACAGTCTGAACTCCCCGGTTAACTCATCCTTCTTCGGTCCGAATATTCTACGCAATACTTTATTTTCAAAAACCTTAAGACGCTCCTCATTCCTTAATGTAAGCGGCCAAATTTCGCATCCATAAAGGACTGTAGGCAAGATAATTGTTTTATAGATTCTAATTTTTAAGTTTCGGGACAAGAGGCGCGAACTAAGTAGTTTTGTCACAGAAAAATAACAAGCATTTCCCGCCTTCAGTCTAACCTTAATCTCCTCTTCAATTTCGTTCTTTCTAGTTATCGTAGAACCTAGAAACCTAAATTTATCTACCTGTTCAAACATATTACCATCTATATCGATATCACCAGTAGTATCGCCATTTTTGCAGCTAACTACAACACCATACTGAGACCAATTTGGACATAAGGAGCAGAACTTTGGGGATCGGCAAAACAAAAATAACACATAGACAAAATACAAATAACAAAGTAAAATTGTCAACGCAACTTGGTGAAATCCTATATCCACGGCAAATACAGTTCATTTCACTTTTCAATTCTAAATTACATTAATCTATTAGTCCTTTCTATTTCCTGCTCTCTGTTACCTGATCGACGGAGATTAAAAAGAAAATGGCTGAGGGACCTACTACAATAAACATAAAAGTTCTAATAAAACTCACACATTAAAACTTGATTTCCTTATAAATTAGCATTAAAACTCCAAATAAATCAATTTTATCTATATGGTATACCGTAGTTTCAAACTTAAGTTCTCTTATCAGTATATTTCCCACACTTAACCACTTCACCAATTATATTTAAAAGAGCAAGCTGTTATTGCTAAGTAATTACGTCGCCCATGAGACAAAGATTGAGCAGTTGTTTGCGTGTTTCTTCATAGGCTTTAGTAAGATTGATTAAATTGATATTTTTGAATTAATAATGGTTCTTTCGTTAAGCTCATTTCTGAAGTTAATTCTAGTCCAAGCCAACATCAGCGTTTAGCGCCAGACAGTTCGTTAAAGATAATAATAATCGATTACTACACCTTCTGCAGGTGTAATTTGCTATACGGAATAGAGTAATTTCTCTAATTTTGCGTTAATGTCGTGGTAAACATTTATAATTTAATGGTAGAGCAAATTACTATGAATATAATGGTATATTTGACATTTATCAGCACCATACGATTTTTAGTCGTACCATTTGTTTTTTTTTTAAGTGAAAGCTTCTTTAGGCACGTTTTGTACTTTTTTGTGGAGAGTGAATTAGATTGAACCGTCGGATTTTAACGTTCGGGTAAAGTCGGCTATAGTCGACTACTTGAAATGTTTTACATATGGTTTAAAATATCTCAGAAACTAAATATCGGGCCTGCATACTGTATGCGAGGAAATTGTTCAGCATTTCATATTCTCTCTGTAATAAAATATAATTCAAAATTATAACGAGTTTATGAGGAGCTGGCCGGGAGGGGAGGGGGACGGGTGTGGTTAAATAAAGGGTCTTCATTCAGGTTTGTTGAAGGTGGGCGGGGTGGCTAACGTGTGTGCACAGCACCACCGTTGCCCGGCAACCTGATCTATGAACTATTTAAAATAGTCACGTTATATAAAATAGTATGTGGCTAAAGCGCTCTCGCTTAAACTCCACTAGCTTTAGCAGGAGTGACGCGGTTGAGAGAGAAGCGCAGGGATCTCTTGAAGTCCCGTTTTTCCTTCTATAGTTGGAAGGAGAATCCTAGCTTGGGGTTCCCTGCTAGATTGTATATATTGTATATAGGTATGACTGTGTTTTTAATTTATCTTTAGGTTATTTTATTTTTTGTTGTACATAGTTTTTAATTATTTGTATAATTTTATATTTTATATTTAGTTGCTTGGCAATAATAACTTCCAATTATTAACAATACGAGTATATTTTTAACGTTACATGTTAACAGTCTAGTTTACGTTTCGGGACCTTTTATTCCCATCTTCAGAACTGCAATTCCAATACTATTGTGGATGCAAGGCTAAAAACTGTTTAAGTTACAATATTGTGCTTGTTACATTACATATTTGTACTATGTTTGTTACAATAAATTTGTAATTACCTTAATTCTAATAATAATAATAATATAATATAATAATAATATACTCGTATTGTTAATAATTGGAAGTTATTATTGCCAAGCAACTAAATAAATTGAAAACTTCCCAGGAAAAAAAGAAAAAAAGAAGAATTTATATTTTCTGTATACATGGTATGAATGTTTTCATATATCACTATAATTATTGTCCACGTGATAGATTGTTATTTTTCTAAATAAATAAATTAAAAAATATATATATAGTCACGAGTTCGTGTTCCGGTGATGGGAGAGTCTTTTAAATCCCCGCCCACACCCTTTGTCCCGGGAAAATCCCGTATAGCCTTAAAGGCGAGGAAGGACCAAAAAAAAAATTTTTAGGTTCATTGGTCAACCTTTCAACATGTCTAAGCCAGCCAATACTTCTCATTTCGATAACTCTCACAATTACTTCTTTGCTTCTAGGACATTTCAATACAAATGAACTAAATTTAAAGTATTTATTTTTGTTTCGAATATTTACTAAACTGAAATCAATTGATCCATATTTCCTTTATGTTACAGGCGGATGTTCCCCACCCTGAGGGTGTCTTTCAGGGACTTGCGACCGGAACAGAGGTACGCGGTTCTGATGGACATCGTACCCGTGGACAACAAGAGGTACAGGTACGCTTACCACCGGAGCTCCTGGTTGGTGGCCGGCAAAGCGGATCCTCCAGCACCTTCAAGGTTGTACCTCCACCCGGATTCTCCATTCACTGGAGAACAGCTGATGAAGCAGGTCGTCACCTTCGAGAAAGTCAAACTAACCAATAACGAGCTGGATAAGCACGGACACGTAAGTAACCTAAAGAAGTATTAATCAGATTAAATATTAATAAAAATATTAATCGGAGGAAAAAAAAAAATGTTTTCGAGACATTTTTTCGGGTTCTGATTTAGATAGTAGCAGTGCGGTGTTATCAGAAATTGTTGCAATGAATTGGGAAGGACAAAGATTTTAGCGCAGGCGAACTATTCGCCATATATCGCCTTGTTATTACTAACAGAAAAAACATAAAAAATAGCCTTATAGTTACAGACTCTTTAAGCTCACTAATGGCCATTGCCGAAGGAAAAGCCATTTTCAGAAGCTGCGAACCTCGCAAGAAGAAAAACAAATGGAACCACAATGATCAATTTAACGACCAATGCTGACTGGAGATTGGATTGCAAAAAAATGCTAAATGAACAATGGCAATTTAAGTGGAACCAATCTACAAATAAATTGCAAGAAATTAAAAAAGACACCCAACCATGGACGACCTCTTTCAGAAAGAACAGAAAAGAAGAAATAATTTTAACTCGGCTTAGAATTAGACAAGCAGCCCTTACCCACGGCTACCTAATGAGAGGCCTGGAACCACCATTTTGTAAAACATGCAACACATCACTTACATTGTAACAACTTGCAGACTATACTCTGACACCAGAACAAAACATAATATACCTTCCAACATATCTGACGCACTTTCAGATGACGAAGAAAAGTATTTGAATTTATAAAAGACATTAAATTTGTACACCTAATTTGATTCCATCTAAAGCCGCTAATGACCCGCTCGGGTAGATGCGGATTGTAACAATAAATAAATAAAATAAAGATTTCAGCGTTAAAGAGGATGTAAAACATGAAACCCCTTTGGGAAAACCGGATTTAAGTGGAAAGATATCGGAAAATTCTGTTCCACAGCGAACTCGAAAGGCGCGGTCAGAGAGGTAGGATCGAGTGGGTATAAGGACTGGGGAAAATGGATTTTTGGAAGCTTGAAGAGCGATCCGGTACACAGTAGTCAGGAATGGAGAAAAAGTGAACATAATACAATTTTTTACGTTATAAATGGAAAAATTAAAAAAAAAAAACCTTATGATACTTGAATTAGCGAAACGTCGGCAGATTAACTCTTCAATTGTAAGTTAGAGACTCGTGACTTTGTATTTTGGATATTTCTATTTATTACTTAATCACTATATCTCTTTTCGAGCTCCATGTTTATTGTAGTACTTTCACTTACCTATATATGTAATATATATAGTAAGGGTAAGTATTGCGATTGCGAAAATTTTGAAATCTAGATTTTGAATGGAAATTCACGGTTCCTTGAGTCCAAATAACCAAGACCTACAAAGTGGTCTGTGAGTGTATGTGAACAACCTAGCTCAAATACGAAAAGTCTTACGAAACTGAAGTTACGTATTTAAGGTTTTTATATGCTTGAGATGTTACAGAAACTTTTTCGTCAAAATTGGCTAACTGGAAATGGTACTTTATATCATCGATTTAACATTTTTTTACGATTTTCTCAAAAACTGCTATAACGATTTTGATTTAATTCATCATATTAATGTAAAATTAAGCATTATTTAATATAATGTAGTTTCCGTTCTCATTAATGTTCTCTAGCCTTAAATGGTTAATTTTCAATATTAGCTTCCGCAGTGGAAAAGCAAAAATGTCGCGCACTAACGCATCCAGGATTTAATTTTTTTTTTTTTAAGGGGGGGCTTCAGCTCGAATTTTTTTTTTTTTTTGTATAAATATATTACGATAATTACTTCGGAAGAAAGAAAGAAAATAACTGCCTGTATGAAATGGTCTTTAAGTCCTATTAAACGAACAATAATACTTTTAGAGATAATGTTTTTCATAAAACATGGTTATATTTTAAAATTTTGGAGGGGGGGGGGCTTCAGCCCGAAAGCCCCTCTCTTCCCCATAGATTCGCCCGTGATGTCACGCGATGCGTTAGCAATAGTGTTAAATACGTTCTGACAGGCTCAGCATCTGTTTCTTCCTAATAAAGCTATCAGCTGTTCTTTATAGTTTAGCTAATGTCTCATGTGTTAGCGAACTTACTATCGCTTCATGAAAATATAATAATATAGAACAGAAGCCTAAAGCGCTATCTTCAGTCGCTACTAAGAGAAAAAAAAAGTAATATTAACGATCTTATTAGTTGCTATTCAATGTAATAACCAATTAACATTAAATTAAGAGTAATTGCATTAGCTACGGTTGCAATAATTGAACTCTTGGTAATGGACAATGGACTATGCAAGGCTCTGATGTTGGCTTAATTGCCGTTGCTAAGTACAGCCCTGTAACGGCCTTAATAATGCATTTAGCTTCAGCTTCTCAATATATTAATAACAGCCTTCTTGGCTACTGGTACTGGTACATCTTCGCCTAGCTCTTCCGACTCTAGCGGATAATTTCGGCCAATTAAAATTAGTTTTATAGAATTGTTAATAACAGACCTACCGCGTGAAGATACCCGAATTACATCTGTGTGAGAGTTTAACATAACAGCCGGCAACTTAGTGCCTATAATTATTAAACATTAACGCTACTTTAATTGAATTTTTATCCTTTCAGTCTAAAGTCCTTCGAACAACGATGCTCCGTTCTATGTAACCAACCAAATCCTAAATACCTTAATATACCATTTGTCCTAGACCTTATACCTCAACAATTTTCTAAATTCCATCAAAACCTTACATATCATCCAAATCCAATTGCTCAATCCCTCTCTAGTTCTTCAGTGGCCCAGAGATCTTTTGTAATAGTCCTGGATCCAGGGCCCAAAAACTGTGTGTTATTCTCAGTAAAGAGAACCTTGTCTGCCGTTTCAGAGTATCTGTTTTCAAAAATGCCGTCTGATTTAAAGAATATTAGACCAGTAACTTGATGATCGAAACGGAAAATCCATTGCGAAAAATGTGAGAATAGTTTTTATTTTTTTAACTTGTATATATGGGTTTAGACATGTAAAAAACAAAACTGCTAACGCGGGTAACCAAGGGAAAAGTTTTTATAGCCGAACTCTCGGATTTTTTCCAATTCTTTTTTTTTCACTTATAACTTCTAAACGATGAAGCAAAGCGAAAAATATACTCCATAATAAATTAAAGAACGTTAACTTTTGCGTCAAACGAGTACATAAACTTTATAATTTGGTTACGCGATAAGGTATAAAACCACGGTCAACCAATGCTGATTTTTACCAAATTTGTCAAAAACTGAGACAAATTACTATAAATGGCCCTATAACTTGGAAATGAGTTCCCTAAGAGGAAAAACCCATAGATTCAAAATTGTAGAGCATCAAATTTCGCGTATACTCAGTATCAACTAATTTAATGTAGGTCACTTGCTGCGAACAAAATCGGTAATCTCCCGATGGTTTGAAATTGGTAATGAAGGTAAACGTGATTTTCAATATTTCAATAGTATGGGTGTCTATTCTACTAAGTTATTTTTGTTTATAGTCTGTTACATGCAGTAAAAGCCTCTTTTCCACTTCTCAACAGCAAAGGATTTTATTAAACGATGTGTCGAAATATATCGAATTTCATATAAGAATATAATTGGCCTACAATAAAAATGTCAGTACTCTGTTGACGATAAATTTGATGCGCATGTGAAGGAGAAGAATATCTTCAAAGCAATTGGTCAGTCATTGGATTTGATGAAGAATTGACGAAGTTACCGACCAAAAAAAAACACCTTTTAGAAATAATATATAGGATTTCCAAAAGTTAAATTACTTGTAATCAATTGAAATGGTGAGGAAATCATACTAAACCGATTTGGTAGACTTTTTACTTTGAGTCAAAAATTAGAAAAAAAAATTGATTGGATTACAACAACCTACAAATATTTTAGTTACGAAAATTCTCGGGGTGTTTTCAATCTGGAGATCGGCAAACTTTGTCTATTTGATTAGGTACTAAAAACTCACGAATACCCATTATTTTTCACTTGAATCGTAAGATAATATGACCAAAAAATCGGGGGAAAAACCGTGGCCTACAAAAACAACGGGCCGTTGGGCCTATATAATTTCGTTATTTTGGGGGTGAGTTACTACATTTATTCTCGATTTTGTGAACATATCTTGCGATTCGAGTGAAAAACGAATGGGTATTCATGAGTTTTCGGCACCTAATTAAACAGACAAAGTTTGCCGATCTCCAGATTGAAAACGACCCCATTCCGAGAATTTTCATAAATATAATTTCTCATATAATTTTCATAAACTTGTAGGTTACGATGAGATGAAGCTTTTCGCGAAGTTTTAGAAGGAGGTTAATAATTCGATAAAAAGGGGTCTGTACCACAGACTATACCATCATGATCATTCATTTTGTCTGTCAATGTTCTAACTAAAATTAGACGCAAAGTATTTTTTTTTTGTTAATGAAAAATTCTTTAGGCGCGGTTTGCACTTTTTTTGTAGATAGTGAATTAGAATGAGCCGTCAGATTTCCGATGAGTGACATTCGGGTAAAGTCGGCTGGAATCGACTAATTCTAGTGTTTTTGCATATGGATTAAAATATCTCAGAAACTAAAACTCGGATGTTAATCATTTCTTCCTCTTTGTAATGAGTTATTATTCAAAATTGTATCTTAACGCGACGCCGTGTCAGAGAAGCGAAAAGGGAAAAAAAATAGTTTCGAAAACCAAATGATAACGAGTTTTATTGAAGATATTTATTAAAATATCTTAGAAACTAAAAATCGGACTTGTATACTGTAAGCGAGGGAATTGTTCAGCATTTCATCCTCTCTGTATTAAGCTATTAATAATTTATATTTCATATTATTAATCTCGCCTTGATGTTTTCACTTCTATCGTGTGGTCTGAAGCACACACCTTAATTTTCTTTTTTTTAATAAATCATTTTCAAAATTTAAATTACTTGTAATAAATAGAAGGAGAACTTATATTGGCAGACATATTTACATTGACTTGCTCAGTTTTTGAATTTTATTGTCTAAATACAAATTTAAGTA